GTGCTAATATTTAGGTTCATATTATATGTATGTGTCTCTACTGGGACATGTCTCTGTGCTTTAATGTTCAAAAAGCTCTTTATTTTTCTCATACTGCCTGTGCTGCAGCACCTCTTTTCACCCTCTGTCTGAAACCAGAGCCCAGTCTGCTCTGATTGGTTAGCTGGCCGGCTCTGTTGTGATTGGTCAACCGCTTAGAGATGTCCCGCCCCTTAGCCTATCACGTACAATGTGTTGGAGCGCTAGCCAGTAGCGGTGCGAGTGTTACATAGTGATGTCAGGATTTCAGGTCTCTGTAGGGATCTTTGGGATTTTAGCATTTGCAGACCCTTTACAATAGGGGGGTCAAACTCAAGGCCCGGGGGCCAAATCCGGCCTGTGACTTCATTTTATGTGGCCCCACAAGAGCTTGCAAAGAATATAATATGTTTATACGGTTACATGCCACTTTACAGAAGCACGTTGCCCATAAACTACATGTCCCACAATGCATCTCAAAAAAAGATTTATGTCATTTTTATTTATTTTTTGACTTTTTTTTCCAGAATGTGGCTTTTCTTTTTAAATCATTTTGTGACATTCTCACTGAAGAGACTTGCAATTATTTGCCCTAGACTTCTGCTTTCAGACGTAGTTAATTATGAAGTTATTACCCTATCCGATAATAATCCAATGCAGAGGCAATAATGTAATATAATACATTATTTTATATATATTAAAATATGTATATATGTATTTTGATATAGTCTTATATATAAAACTGGCCCTTTGAGTGCAACCATGATGCTAATTTGGCCAGAGATGAAATTGAGTGTGACACCCCTGCTTTACATGCACAAAAACCTATTGAACATACTAAGGGTAAACTCCCCAAAGCCTCATAGGGCCTCTTTCAGGCAATCATACTTTATTTGTCTCGTATAAGAGAAAAACGTATAATCTCTACAGCAGATACAGCTTTTAGGTGATAGATATCTCAAAAGCCAAGTGTCATGAAGTGAAATATTGACTAAAGTCTTCTGACAAAAACAGGTTATACAGTATGTGGTATTGAGGAGAGTTTCACAAAGCAATAAAAGCATTGGTGAACTGTAATGCTCTCTGAATGTCTTTTATCCACAGGGTCAAAAGCTGTCTTACCTGTATAACAGGACTTTCATTCTGACTCTTGAAGGATATTATATTTTATTGATTTAAAGCAAACCCTTTAGAAAAATCGTTAGTTTAAATCGTTTATCTTACAGAAACTGTTTTTTTATGTCTAAGAAAACCATCTTTTCCAGACCATTTTATTTTTGTTACAATTACATACAATTCTACATTATTGTATTTTCATGCTCGTCTGCTCATCAAGAACATATTTTGAGTTTGCTATCTTGATCAAGGACACTTACACATACAGAGATAAATTACCAAGACCTAAACCACCAACCTTCAAAATAATGGGCCCTTTGTCCAATCCTACCAAAGGTACTTTATGCACTCATTTTGGAGGAAAAATCACCATTTGTGCATAATGCAATATTCAAAGTCAGTGCGTTAGAGTACATTTAATCAAGGGATGAACTTCATTATTTAATTGCAAGAGCCGCTGCATCAGGAGAGACAATAATTGATAGAAAGGTCATTATAGTTTTGGTCTTTTAACTTAGTAAAAGTAGTTCTAAGTAAGTAAGAAAAGTAGTAGTGGAAGTAGCAATGAAATGATGATTGAGTTGGTCCTTGTAGTATCGAAATAGACACACTCACAAATTACTTTTTGACAGTTGTGTGTATCAGTGTGTGTGTGTGTGTGTGTGTGTGTGTGTGTGTGCGTGTGTGTGTGTGTGTGTGTGTGTGTGTGTGTGTGTGTGTGTGTGTGTGTGTGTGTGTGTGTGTGTGTGTGTGTGTGTGTGTGTGTGTGTGTGTGTGTGTGTGTGTGTGTCCTCTGCTCACTCCACTTATATCACACCAGTTGTCCCAGTAGGACAGGATCCAGCTCGCACTAAATGTTCCCTTTTTTTCATGTTTATAGGCTTGGCTCGAAAACTGCTTCGAGGGACAATCTGTGTGTGGTTGTGAAAGGATTGCATGGATAGTTTGAAGTGGGGTCGTATGAGGTACTTATCAGACAGGAATACCAACACAAAAGTAAAGTATTGTTAACCATTGTTATAGGTTCTTATCGGGAAATAATGCTCTCTTCAGATTCAACAGACTCCATTCACAAAAGCAGTTTTAGAAAGCTGCTGTTGATGGTGTGCTGTTACCTTGATCTGTTGTTTGTGTTATTGTGTAACTTTGGTGAAGCTAAACTTACTTTTAAAAACACCAAAGTTACACAACAAATACAAACAAACTATAGCAACTCAATTGTTCTGCTAAGGTAAAAGCAGTGGTTTTGTTAAAGGAGTCTGGTGGCCTTGAAGACTGATTGGTTGCACATTGTAAAGGGCTGGTGAATTGAATCATCATTGTATCAACTAAATGTGGGTGTGTGTGTGTGTGGTGTGTGTGTGTGTGTGTGTGTGTGTGTGTGTGTGTGTGTGTGTGTGTGTGTGTGTGTGTGTGTGTGTGTGTGTGTGTGTGTGTGTGTGTGTGTGTGTGTGTGTGTGTGTGTTGTGTGTGTGTGTGTGTTGTGTGTGTGTGTGTGTGTGTGTGTTGTGTGTGTGTGTGTGTGTGTGTGTGTGTGTGTGTGTGTGTGTGTGATCCGGACCGAACTGCAAATCAATCCGGACCGAACCCTGTGTCCCATTATAACAAATACAAATTATACAAAATAAAAAAATGAAAACTTTCTAATTCTGATGTAAATTAATGTATATTTTCTTGTGTCTGACGCTTTGTGAGAATGAACGTGCATATATATTTACTTGTGTGCGCGAGCGTGACACGCATTGTAGACCGCAAGTTAACCGCAAGTTTACCTTGATTTTCTAATGCTTCTAATGCCATTTTTGCCGAGGTTCAAGGCATTGGCTACAGACAAACAGTGCCATTTCTCCCACTAGTTCAAGCCATCATACTGTATGTATGTATTGAATGTGTGTGTGTATACAGGGGCGCCGTTTGCCGACAGGCAAGGCAGGCAAGTGCTTGGACCAGAAGGGGGCCCCCAAAGAAGGTAGATTAAGAAGGTCCACAGCAACTACAACATGAAACACCCTTTAATTTATTGCAACGACATGTCGGGAAACCCCCTCAAGGGGGCCCCATGCGTAGAGCGTCGTAAGAAACTGCTTCTTCATTTCAGTTTTGTTGCTCTGCTCCGGGGGGGTGACTTTACTGGCATTGATCCGGACCAGTGACCTTGTATAAAATTCACAAGTGGACCTTTAATAAAAAAGTTTGAGAACCCCTGATGTACACTGTACATTTTACATTTATATTCGATTTAATATTTAACATCATCAACATTATTTTTGTCTTTTTATGCTGCTGCAACATAAACACTTCCTAAATTAGGATCAATAAAGTACTGTCTTATCTCTTATCTTATCTTATTTATTCACTGGTTGTTATTTCAATATTTGTATATGTAAACTTACTTTCAAAATTATGGTAGTTATATAATTTATTTGTTGTCTTGTATTAGCTTTGGGTTTCACACCATTTTAGCTCCAGTTGACGTGATGGTCCTCACAAAGAACAAATAGTTAGTGGTCCACACTAAGTACTAAAAATGTGTGTGTGTGTGTGCGTGTGTGCGTGCGTGCGTGCGTGCGTGCGTGTGTGTGTGTGTGTGTGTGTGTGTGTGTGTGTGTGTGTGTGTGTGTGTGTGTGTGTGTGTGTGTGCTCACTGAGTTGAAGAGCAGTTGTCGATGACAGCTGCAGGGAGCAGGGAGAGAAAGAGTCGAGTGGCTTCAAATAGCCGTCGTTCCCCTCATTCATCGGAGCAGCCCTTCCCCTCTTCTCCCTCTCAGCAGCCACGGGTGTGAAGTTTACATTTTCTTTTGTTGACACAGGCATGGTGATGTTTTTTAAAAATATCCGCTTACTCCATAAAATAACGTTTCAGAAATGTCTCAAACAAACAGAGAAGCGCAGTCTAGTCTGCAGGTAACTGTTCAAATGTCATGGTGGGTACTTCAGTTAGCATAAAAAATGTTCATTTATATGTTAAACGTTAAAGGTTATGTGGGGAAAAAACACTTTAATTCAAATATAATTAATTATCTTCAACATTGATATTTGTTTTTCAGCCGCTCCATTGTTTTTCAAGTGTATTCAAAAGAAATAAAACCAGAAAGAACGTTTCTAACCACCTGAGAGACTATCTATTTCTCATGGAAATAGGACATTTTCTTTGGCGAAAAAACCCTAAAACAAGCAGTATTTATTTAAACTGGCTTCAACTAATCAAGAATCTATTCATTTTGAATTAATGGATTAATTGAATGTATAAACTGCTTAAAAAAAGCCTATGATGACATCTTTAAATTGTTTGTTTTCTAAGATCAACAAAGCAAAACCTAGATTTAAATTATATAAAATAGAGAAAAAGCAGCATAACTATTGGTGCCTGATGAAAGTGATTGATTGTTTATCAAAATTGTTGTCAATTAATTGTTTTTCTAGCAATAATTACAGTGACTTTTTCTTCGAGTGATCTTAAATTGAAATAGTTAATGTACAACTCAATTATCAAAGATGTTCCCATAGTTGTGAAGATGTTAATTAACTTGCAAATCCATGCTAAAATACAAATATGTCCTTTTTCTATACAATCAGTCTCGCCACAAACAGCGTCAAAATCGTACTTTGCTACTGCCTACTTCACAAAGAGAAAATATAATGATTATTTTTCTGTCTTCCTGGATCTTTTGCAGCTGTCAGAATCCCCTCCATTTCTTTCGTGCATTGATGGTTTGCGAGGCAATTGTGTTCACCGACCGCACACTTATAAATACATTTCATACGCAGTTTCGTCTGACATTTTTGAGCACACTTCATTTTGATTTAACACGCTCAAACGTTTGCAGCTGTCACTTTAAACACCTTGTGAAATCATTACTTAAATATATTTCGTAATCAGTCAAAACTGTTTAATTTAACTTTTACAGTGCCATAAAATACTGACATTGAACCAATACTCCATGTAAACCAGAGTGTTTGGACTTTTTTCAGTCTGCCAAATTCTTGCTGTGCGGCCTTTCTCAACACCAACACGGCCTTTCCTCCAGCCACAACTCTCCCAGTGTCTGTTGCCCAGTTGTCCCAGTGAGGCAAGTCCTGCCAAGTCCTTCAGGCGCTTGTCTTTGGAGTTTTTTGACAACACATGTCTCTGTCCGTCCGTCCCCAGTCTTTTTCCAGTTTAGGAATGTTGTCCCTGCCTGTTACAGGGGCACAAAGAGTCTTGTCTTTGAGCACATCCGTCAAGATCAGTTTCTCTCGTTCCTCCGTGAGTCCACTTTTGTTTCCACGCTCGTTTTGTATCCACAATTAGCTGCTGCTGCTGCTGCAAAGTCCTCCGTAATACCGAGCTGCAAGTAGACCAGAAGCAGTTACAGCACAAAACGGCCGTCTGAAAGATTGTCAATTTCTCTGTCCCATAATATCAGAAGAGCAACAAAGGAGTGAAGGAAAGGAGTCAAGCAGGGGGGGGGGGGGGAGGAAGAGTCTCAGCAGGCTCTAAAACCAATACAAATCTTTGCTCTTATCCTGTGCCTGAAGACCTGAGAGAGTAAAGGGAAAGAAAGGAGGACACAGTGGAAGGAAAAAAGAAAAGGGAGATTAGAAAAAGAAGCGCTCATGTCATGTTGATAAAAGCAGGAGGAATTGCCCGAGGCAGAGAGGGGATGAAAGCAAAGGCGGCAACAGAAAAGGAAGTTGACAGCTGGTGTTAAGGTGCTGATTGACAGTCAGTTTGTTGGTTCAAACCACTTGTGGTAAGCCGATCTGAGGCAGGGGGAAAGAAATGCTCATTTAAATCTGGTATTCAAGCTTTTTCAAGGGGTTACTTTGCTACGTGGTCGTACTGAATGTCTGCTTTTATTCAAACACTTCAACAATAATGAGTAGGGTTGAACATTTAACAGACAGGTGTGGACCCAATCAAGCAATGATTTAACCAATGTTAAAGAGTGAAAATGCATCTCAATCTGCTGCAACTTTTGCCTGCTTCCAATGGTGGTTTTCACATTTGTTGAAGATGTAATGACCGCACAATAGGGTCCGATCATTTTAATGACCTGGTTGAGAACGTGTAAGATTATGTTATACTGTCAAATCATAAAATAGCTGACTGTGCGGTCATCTTATTATCATCAATAATTGTAATTTCCACTAGCAGCACCTGGTCTTTGGAGTGCATTCGCCAAACGATTCTGACTTAGCTCAACGTTAATAGGGTTTTAATGTATTAACTATTCAAATGGAATATGTAAGTGGTAAGATTGTTGAGAGAACTTCAGGCAAAGATTGTTTTGTATAATTGTTCAATTCTTAATCAGAAAAATAAGCATATAAGGAGTTGTGAACAGGTGAAGAACCATTGTCCAAGACCAACATACTAGTCTTATGGGTTTTAGATGTTTGCTGACAAAGAATAAGCTCAAGGCTTGATAACACCTCTATATACCCCCTAAAACCACAGGCCTTATTTATGTTGTATTAAGTTCTAAAAAGACTGCCATGACAGGTTCTTTACCGAAGTCTTTGGTGTTTGATTTGACCTAAAACTCTTGGCTTAGCACGTTGAGGAAAGCCAACAAATTGTCATAAATCTGACGGATGATACCATTCTGTTTCTCTATATTGTAGGACAGTTTTTCTATTGTTATATGTGTATCTTAGTAAATCTATTGCACATATGTCGGTCCTGTAAGAGGAAAACATCCACTTTTGATCTTTTAAAACCCCATTTTAGTTGTTACCTCATTTAAAGGACAGAAGATGTTGTGTGCTGTACCCATTGTTGATTGTAAAGCCCATTGATGTTAGGCTACATTTTATGTGAAACATTGACATTACCTGTGTCCATGTTGAGTCCGATCTCCGCTCCGGCTCCAGTGAAAGCGCCGCTCCATGAACTCGTCCCTGACTCTCCTTTCCCCCCCAGGTCGCAGGGCGAGGCGCTGGGCACCGAGCTGCCAGACGTCATGCGGTGATGATTCCTCACCGACGGCACCAACAGGGATCCATACCGAGGATCGAACGCCGTGCTGTACATCTCGTGAACCCCCGGACGCGGGTACGCCGATCCCTGGCTGCCTATAGCGCCCCCTAGTGAGTAAGGGTGGTGGTGGTGATGGTGGTGGTGGTGGGACGGGTGCCAGGAGTCGGGGCTGGGCTGGTGGAGGTGGCTGTGCAGGGAGGAGGAGGAGGCGTACGGGTCCCCAGGGAACGAGAGCTCTGAGTGAGGAGAGGAGAGAGCGCTGCCCAGCGAGGAGGACGGCTGGTAGGAGCTGTTCCAGAAGGACGGAGGGAAACTTCTCTGGTTCATCGGGAATGATCCATCTGCAAGCACAGGTACTGTTAGAAAACTATCACTATTACGTCATATCGACAGCAAATCTGGATCAGCTCCGTTGTACCCCCGTTTTTAGAGATGTGGGTACGGAGGAAAAGAGAGAGGGTTTTGTTCCCTGACACACCGGGGACACACACTGATATACAAGAGAGGGAGTTACACAGTCACAAGATGGAGGAATAGAAAGCAATATTCAATGTTTACTTCAGATTAGCTCCACGTCAGAAATGATCATGCTTGTCATATGTCTATCTCCATAGAGGCTGAATCATCATGTTAATCACATAGCTATCATATGCCTCAAACAGTCCTGATGCTCTTCTAGGTAATCAAACATCCTGTCATGCACACAGCTACAGTTGGGATACCTTTGTTATCATGTGTACTCTGATATTGGAAGAGTACATTCAGTATTTTCCCAACAGGTACGTTATTATTATTATTATTATTATTAATATTATTATAGTAAAAGCTTGTTTATTGAGGCTGAAGGCTCAGTCTTGACCTCGAAGGTGGTTTGTTCATCGCAAGATCCACTTATATATATTTTTCTGAGGCTTTAAGACATACATAGTTGCTGTTACCTAAAACGTTTCTTCTTTAAATGAATCATTTGGAGATATTACTTGAGTGTTCAGCAACAACCATTAATTACAGCCCGTAGAAATAATCAATACAACCTTTGAAATGGTATTTACAGTAAGAGGTATAAAGATCCTTTATGGGATGTAATGTACCATTAGCTTGGATTGAAAGTGGACAGTTAAAAAATATAAAAGAAAATTCCTTGGAAATGCTTATAAACTTTGGAAGGAATAAAAAAAAAAAATCTATAAAATGTACATTTAACTAAAAATGTGTAACGCTGCAAATTATGAGTTCAGATTTTGCCGGAAACACATCAAATATTAAATCCTACTTTAAAAGAATACTCCTTACAGCAACATACAAAAGAATGTAAGCATTTCAACATATTGTTATACTATATTTGCCGGGTATTATTTACACAAACTCACTATTTGTTTAAACTTTATATTTCAATCAAACCCAAAGTCAGAGGAGAGACAAACTGCCAACGGAGTAACGGACAGTAGAATAAACACAAGCCGAGGCTGGCAAAATGTTTTATTTCTCCAGCTGTTGTCCGTATGTTTATCGTAAGAATATATATGATTCTAGCCCCATGGAAACACTTTTTTTTTTACTTATTACACGCTTGATGAAGTTGTGATTTTCGATGCACGTTTTTGTATTTTAAGGTCAGATTAAAGCACAGCTGATAGGAGAACAAACTGAGCCGCTTCAGATCAAACGTGCAACATCCAGAAAGCTAAAAGAGAGGACGGTGTATATCAGATTGATATTTTAGATCTATTTTTCTTTCGTTTGTGGTTAATAATTTGGAGTGCTGCACATTTTTGGTCAAATGTAAATGGCAATTGAATATTTTTTAATTCATAGCACAGTTCAAAGTATTTCCAAGGATTGTTTCTTTAACCCTCATATTGTCTTCGTTTTCCCCCTCCCTTACTTTGGTGTTCGCGGTCAAATTTGACCGGTCCTGTTTTAACTGCTATTACATTAACACAAAAACCATTAATCACCACATTTCATTGAACACCCTTTCAAACTGTAAATATTGAATCAGACTACTGGTATACATGAACAACTGCAGTACATATACAGAGAATAGACACTGAACATGTATTGCGTGTGCCAGGTGTGATCCACATGGGGGGATGGGCACATAAGAGCGGGACATGTGTCAAATTGTTCTGTGTGTGTGTGTGTGTGTGTGTGTGTGTGTGTGTGTGTGTGTGTGTGTGTGTGTGTGTGTGTGTGTGTGTGTGTGTGTGTGTGTGCTTGTGTGTGCCAGGTATGATTCACATGGGGGGATTGGGCACATAAGGGGGGACGGACACATCTAGAGTGTGTGTGTGTGTGTGTGTGTGTGTGTGTGTGTGTGTGTGTGTGTGTGTGTGTGTGTGTGTGTGTGTGTGTGTGTGTGTGTGTGTGTGTGTGTGTGTGTGTGTGTGTGTGTGTGTGTGTGTGTTAAGTGTCATTACATCTAGACTTTGCACTGTCACATTAACTGGTGATTATTTTTTGATTACTGACCGTTTTTTGCAATTTTAAAAAGTTCTCCTTAATCTTTTCATCACCATGATTAATCATTAATGTTACCTTATGGAAGTGTACAGAGACCAAGACAAAGTGACTGAATCTGGGGAAATCATAGTGTCTTTGAACAGCTTCATTCCCACACTATCAAAACCAGGACAAAAGGAATAAAACACACAATAAATTAAACCAAATTTCTACAAGAGAACTTCCAAAAACACATGTAAGCATTTCATAGATTTCCCTTTTGACATTAAGCGTCCTGATGATGCTCAAAACTGTCTTTCAGTGTCTTTTCTCCACACTGTCAGACTCCCACTGAGGTACAACACTTAAATACTTATTTGTATTTACTTGCACATCTCCAAACATTCTCTTGCACTATTTTATCTGTTTTATTTGTTCTATGTCCTCTATATATTCATGTTGCTCTGTTGGAGGAGCCTGTGACTTCAGTTGTTCATTGCCATATCTACACGGTAGCTAATGTGCACATGACAATAAAGCCTTGAAACTTGTTGTTTTTTTTCAAAGGTTTCATTGTCATGTGCACAACGCTGCAGTGTAGAAATGGCAATGACATTCCTCTGACCTGAGCTCCTCCAACAATGCAACATATATAATAAAATACAAAATAAAAAGTAGTGCAAAAAGTCCATATACATGTCAATAGAATATGATGTGTGCAAGAACAGAATATGAAATAAAAGAATGTACATTAAGACTAAATTAAATATTGCGTGGATAACAATTTCTATAAATAAGTATATTGCAAGATGACAAAAAGATGAATGTTTATCGGGGCACTTAAAGGTAGGGTAGGTAAGAATGGAGAAACCAGCTCGAGTGTGCTAGAATTTGAAAGTACGCAGCCGAAAAAAATCTGCCTTTTCCTTCAGACTTCTTTACAGAGCCCCTCCTCCAACACACACGAACGTGCACAAACACACACACTCACACGCACACACTCACACACACACACACACACACACACACACACACACACACACACACACACACACACACACACACACACACACACACACACACACACAGACACACACACCTCTTACGGCCTTGTGGCTGCTGGAGGCCGGGTATGCAGGCGTATGGCTGAGCGCTCGGCTGAAGTGTTCGTCCACCACGGCGCTGATGTCTCCCTGGAAGTAAGTGAAGAGGACGCAGCGCGAGCTCAGGTACTCGGCGCCCGGAGGAAGCTCCTTGTCCTCCTCCTTGATGGCGGGGGGGCCGAGGCGGCTGTCCTGGGGGTCTTGCATTTTGGTGTACAAGGCCAGTTTCTGAAAAAGACATTACAGTACATTTCAATTAGCGGAAACTTCTATCAGAATAAGAATCCGATTTATTGCCAAGTAGGTTTAACCCTGTAATGTTTTTACAACATTACTTTAAGCTATCCTAAAAAAGAGACAACATTTACATCGTCAAAAGGTCCTTTTGTTCAGCCTCACAATGCTATTGGGTAGTAAATGTGTTTATAGGTCCTGCCTTCTGGAGCATACACTCACACAATTTCTCTTTGTTTTATTGGACTGGATTTGTCAGATTCAAGTAAGTAAAATGCCTCAAATATTTTTTGGGGGATTATTACAATGTCTAGAACATGTACATATTTAGTTATTGTGGAATACATTAATTAAATTAGATTTTGAGCAGCTTATGTCTTACGTAAAACATTTGATTTCATTTCTGCACCAGAGGCTCCCTACAACAACATCTGAAAGGTAAAAGAAAATAAATTCTAATGTTTTTCTATATTTGGGCTTTACAGGGTTAAGCATAATATGATTTTTTTTCTTTGGTGCAAACACCAAGTAAGAGGGATTCATTTGGAAGATAAAGATCATAAAATAGAGATATAAAAACTATTTTAAAATTACTAATTAAGTAGAAATATTCACAAAATTGTAAATATTCGGAAAAACTAAGTACAGTAAAAATATGATAAAATGCTCTGAAAAATTAAATATGTGAATTGTTAGAAAGTGTAAAGCTGCAGATTTTAAAGATCAGAAATGTACAGAGGGGTGTGTGCAGAGTTCACAGAATTAAAATGAACAACATTTGCTCAGATTATTTGCAACAGCGATTATTTAATTGACCTGACACTTTTATCAGAATCAGATTTATAGCCAAATGAAGTTCAACCATTCATTTACTATGTCTATGTTACTACTCTCTCTCCTCTCAATAAGTGATCGGGGGCGTCACTCCCCAGCTTAACCAATCACTTCGCTCTATTCTCACAAGCCTATCATAGCGCCTATCATTTAAATCTGCTCTCCCCCCTCTGACAGTTGTCATTTCAGGTGACTCGACGCAACCCTCCTCCGCCCCTTTTCACCTCCTGTCCCTCTGAATCCAGGGTCAAGCTAAGCCCCTCCCCTTCAGACCGAACCCAACTATCCATTCACCACCACCAGGGTCAAGCTAAGCCCCTCCCCTTCAGACCGAACCCAACCATCCATTCACCACCACCAGGGTCAAGCTAAGTCCCTCCCCTTCAGACCGAACCCAACTATCCATTCACCACCACCAGGGTCAAGCTAAGCCACTCCCCTTCAGACCGACCCCAACTATCCATTCACCACCACCAGTATCTAGACCCCGGGGGGGTTTCATCGGATCGGTTCTCCCCTCCCGAATGATACTCCTGCAGAACGGGGCCTAATCGCCAAAACTCCATTACATTAATTTGTGTATTCCTGGCAATAAATATGTATTCTTTCATCAAAACCGTCTCTCCTGATTGAACTAGGTTTAAGCGCAATATGAATATGCTTTTGTGCATTTGGTGCAAACATAGACACAGTAAGAGGAATTCATTTGTAAGAAAAGGACCAAGTTATAAAACACAGAAATGTGCAACATATATCATCTTACTTAAATGAAACCTTGGATGAACCTTTTATTATATGTACATAATAATATATATCATATGAATTAGACAAATGTATGCAAGTACACAGACATATTCTCATACATAGTACTATTTGTGTAAGTCATTGCTGCTGCACACACTGAAAATACACTTTTTTAACTTACTTTTCCTTATGTGTACTTACTTTTATGAATAAGAATCAGATGTATTGCTAAGTAGGTTTAAGCGTAATAGGAATTTGCGTCGGTGCATTTGGTGCAAACAAAGACACAGTAAGAGGAATGAATTTGGAAGAAAAGGACCAAGTTATAAAACATATTTTAACATGAATGTAAATAGAAATGTTTACAAAAATATAAATATTTAAAGAAACTAAGTAACGTAAAAATATGATGAAATGCTCTCAGTAGTATTATAAGTTAAACTGGAAATCTGTGCACATTTGAAAGAGTTAGCGTTGACCAGAAATGTGCAACATATAGGAGGGGTGTGAGTGGTTCACAGTGTTCAAATGAACTAAATGTAATCAAATGATTTGCAAAAGCTTATTACAATAAGTGCATTCAACCATTAAGACACAACGGTAAGCTGGAAGTACATGAGCTTTAAATAAGAATAAAACTATTTTACGTGCTGGTGCATTATGCAAACTGTTTATCTAAAGTCCCTTTTATGAACTATCATTTTGAAGATTGAAGATTGAAGAAGATTGAAGATTCACTTATTGTCATTACGTAGTACAGGAACTATGTATCGAAACGGTTTCTCTGCATTTGACCCATCCGAGTGTTAGGAGCAGTGGGCTGCCATTATGTACGGCGCCCGGGGAGCAGTGTAGGGAACGGTGCCTTGCTCAGGGACACCTCGGGAGCACTTGAACTGGTGACCTTCCAGTTGCCAAGCCAAGTCCCTATGGACTTCGCCACCACCGCCCATTTTGCATACATAAATTCATTTTTAGGGGGGGGGGGGGGGGTTTAACTTCTATAAAGACTTAAACAAATAAGTGATATTTGACTTCTAACCCTCGTTAAAAACATGTCCGTTTCAGGAGACAACAGGTGTGTAGTAGAACATAAATCCACCTAAGCCAGTGTCATCTATTTATGTACAAACTGACATGAATTATGAACTGATGTGTCCTCCTAAGGAAATTTAAACAATGATAAAATATGCTTTCTCACAAACCTTTTTTCTTTACATTGGTGGTTTTTAATGAGCACCAATTACACCTAATACTCAAAACTATGAATGGGAGTAAACAGGTATATTATCATTTAGAGTACAATTTGTTTTCAAATATTTTAACTTTGCACCTTTTACTGATAGACACAATGACTAAAAAACACAAGTCACTTCGTCTGCTCTTACTTTTTATTTATTTGTACGTACTTATATGATGAATAGAGGAACAAAAAAGTACAGAATATCCTATATGTTAATGAAATCAATTCAAATAGTTAAAAGTTAAAAGACATCAACCTTTTATTATAAGCAAATATTAACATATACACCGAAATATTCTCATATACCTTTTTTTAATGATAAATATTTGAATGTCATTACTGCTGCACTCACTGAAAATACACTTTTTTTTCGTACTTTTCCCCTTTTTGATTTACTTATATGACAGATAAAGATGAAAAAATAACTATTTGTAAATGATATTACTTCAAATTACAGTTAAAGGACAAATAATAATCATAACACATGCATTAGACAAACTTCTCCAAGAAAAAATATATTGTTGTATAAATACTGCTAATACATAGTGATCTATATATATATATTTAAAAACTATGGTGTGTATTGTGGGCAGACTGGCTGATCCAGAGTCTGTTTCGGTGGCAGACAAAGTGAGTTTTGGCACTATGTGAAATATGCCCTGGATGTTGACCGAGAGGTTTTAAGAGAGTGAAAAAGACCTTTAACAAGTCTGGAGAAAAAAAACCCTGCTGCACTCAAACTGTTCAGTCATGAAGCAGAAACAAATGTTTTAGAAAGTGAAATTCATCTTATTATTTCGCAACTAATGTCACAGTTACGCTGTAAAAAACAGTCAAGGCATGATGACAGATCATTGATTTTAACCCTTAATTACAGTATGGGTCATTTAACATTGTAAAACGATACAGGAAATTAGGTCTAACGCAGATAACGCTGTAAATCCTGGACTATGTTTGGCCTTAAACCAATAGAAAAGTGAGGATATAATAAATAATTCATGTTTAAACTCGACAAAAGTCTTTAAAAACAAGTATACGAACTAATGGGTGCATGATATCCTTCAGTTTTGACTGCAATAAAGCTCATCTGCGATTTTTACTTCAGAAATAATCTTGTTTTTTTACACTTTTAACGAACTAAAATCCGCTTAAATAGAAATAACAAACAATCTGTTGACTGCAGTTTGAAGTACAAGAGTAAAGAAGGTAAGTGATATCAATTGAAATGCAAAAAAGTGAACATGTGACCCCAAAAAAAGTTTTACATCGCTCCAAACGTGAAGCTTTACGCACTGGATCCTCTCCGCAAGTTGCGCACACTTTCAGTCAATGCCTTGCTTTTAATGGTGTTTAAAGTGCTTATTACACTATATTATTATATATAAAGTGATCTAAAGGACTGAGTTAATACGTTTTCTAAATATAGAATCCATAGTTTGTGTCAGTATGAGCTGTTTTGTCTCCTATTTATTTGCACGCAAGAAAGTTGTAATTTGTGGATGTAAACGCCTATAAATAAGGTTTCCTGAACATTATAACAATAATTAAAAGCCCACGGTGCATGTTAGGGCTATTTAAAAAGAGTTTATAAGCAATAAGTGGTCCATACCTGGTGGTGATAGGGGCTGTAGGAGCTGAAATAAGGCTGAGGTCCAAACACTTGGTACATCACATCCAGGCAGCTCATGGCGAACAGAATCACGGAGAAGAACCGAGAGTCATTGAGAGAGAAGTCTGAGCGGCCGGAGAGGAAGCGGTAATCCCGGCCGTGGAGAGGGTCTCTGTGCGGCTCTTTACCCACTCTTTACGCACTACACGCGGCTGTGCGCACTGAGAGGATCCCCCTCCTCACCCTCCCTCCCCCCAAAAAACACCCAGCCTGACGCCTCCCGTCAGCCAATCAGAGGCCAGAGCTCCACCTCTGCCTTAACGAGCTTTTAACTACGGAGACACGAAACCATGGCATCTATTTAGCGATTTAATTAATTATCTGTTTGCCAAAAACATTTATAATTTTGCCTCGTGTTACTGCTGCATTCATTTTGTCATTTTTCTACTCTTACTTTATTGATTTATTTACTTTTTTAAGATGAATAGATGGAAGAAAGTCCATATCATGTTAAAAACAACTATATACTATGGAATGACTTTAAGTAGAAAAACAAGGAACCTTTTTTTTATACAAATATGAATAGTTAATTTAACATTTAATAAGATAATATTATAATTAATGATTAACAATTGTAATAGTTTTGCTTATATCACCAAAAATGATGCTACTCTTACATATTTGTAATCCTATATGGACTTTATATACCAAATATTTTAAATACACCCTCAGTGTTTTTTATATGTTTGATAATGCACATTGCAAGCTATTATCCATATTTACCTTAATATTTACTTATAATTCAAGTATTGGACATGTTACGATTTCTTTCTCTGTATATAAACACTATCTTCACTAGCGTTTCATGATGTTTTAATTTTAAAAAAATACAGTAAATGTGAAATAAATAATATAAAAAAACAGCAAGATAAATGTGCCACCCACTCTGAATCTAATGCAACAAAAGCTCATTGATGAACATCTGATGGGCTCCACTTGCACAATTTGGGATTTTGTTGGTTCTCGGAAAGTCAATTCAGTCTTTCATTTTTAATATTCTTTTATTCATTTTCAAGGTCTTTAGATGCTTTGAGGAATATTGGACTGGCCTCAATTCTCTGACAGGTGTGGCACTCAAAAGGAAACAGCTTCTATGCTTTTATTTTCCTTTGAATGGAACTTTATTTTGAATGATTTTACAGTCAGTTTTAATGGGATAGTGAATGGAGACTTGACTTGTTTTTTTATATTGTCCAATATAGTACTTTCAGATGTGTGCGTTTGAAAGAAATAGATGGAGAAAATAGCAAAAAACGTCAAAAAATGTTCAATGTTTGTATCCCTTTTCCCCCAATAATGGATTAAAGTGTTATACATTTTTCTTTTATTCGCCACAAGAGTGTTAGAGAACTACATTTTGATGACTTAAATTAAAAAATGCAATGCCTAGTAGTTTGCTATTATGATATTTAATGTATTTCATATCGTGTTTGTCAATCGGAGCATGCCCATGTCGAAGTTTTGCAGCCGCAGTAAAGAATGTAACAACTGGCACTTACTGCTAATTGAAATGAGTAAACAAATCAAACCGACCAATGAGAGGAATGTGATGCTGTGCAGTCCCACAATCCCTCAGTGGCCTCCCAAATTCTGGAGGTCAAAGGTCAAATAGCTAGCTCCCAGTTTGGTGCTATTACTAGAGGTCAGAGATCACAGGCAACTTGTCCAACAATTACCGAGCTACATTACATTTACTCAAGTACTGTGTATAATGTACAGGTACTTTGTTCAGTTTTAGTTGCAACAATTTATTTAGACAAACCTTTGATCTTGTATAGTCTTCACCTCACAGATTATTATAACTTCTGAGTCATGCATCCTTTAAAGGTGGGGTAGGTAATTCACTTCAGAAACACTTGTTGTTATATTCCATGGAATGCTCTTAACATCCCGATAGCAATGAATACATTAAATGCTTTGACAATAAATACATTAAAAAATGTCATCTGTGGAAGCCGTGGTGCTGTAAAAAGCACGACCAATCATCTGAGCCGGCCCGGCTAAAATAACTGGATGGCCTACCTGCCTGTCAGCCTTCCATCTGTGCACAAACTTATCTCGTGCCCTCATTGGTCATGTGCGCGTTCGTGTGTGTTGGAGGAGGGGCTCTGTAAGGAAGTCTGAAGGAAGGGGCAGATTTTTTTCGGTTACGTACTTTCAAATTCTAGCGCACTCGAGCTGGTTTCTCCATTCTTACCTACCCTACCTTTAACTAATCAATGTCACGTTCCTAATGACATCAACATCTAAGAAATCTTGACATGTTTTGATACCACAGGGATCTGTTTATTGTTGCGGCTTTGCCAGTATTGACCCGTAATTAGACTACATGAGTTTCTTGGGTGACATGTAAAGACACTTTTAATGTCATAAGTTATGAGAGTAGTAAGTTGTTGTTGTGTGAGAAACTGGTGCAAAACACAAGGCAACCTGTATTAAAGAGGCCCTATTATGCTTTTGGGGGATTTGCCTTCCCTGTAGTTATATAGGTCTTTGTGCATGTAAATGGTCTGAAAAGGCTAAAATCCCTGTGTTTCCTCGACCTGAAACGCCTCCATTGGACTCCATTGTTTACTTCTGGAACATAGTGACATCCCTATGTAATACTCACACTTCTATTGGCTAGCGCTCCAACACATTGTACGTGAGGCTAAGGGGCGGGACATCTCTAAGCGGTCGACCAATCACAACAGAGCCGGCCAGCTAACCAATCAGAGCAGACTGGGCTCTGGTTTCAGACAGAGGGTGAAAAGAAGTGCAGCAGCACAGACAGTATGAGAAAAATAAAGAGCTTTTTGAACATTAAAGCATGGAGACATGTAGAGACACTACATACTGATATACACCTGAACATCAGCAGGAGAGGACTCTTTAAAGTAGAGACACTACATACTGATATACACCTGAACATCAGCAGGAGAGGACTCTTTAAAGTAGAGACACTACATACTGATATACACCTGAACATCAGCAGGAGAGGACTCTTTAAAGTAGAGACACTACATACTGATATACACCTGAACATCAGCAGGAGAGGACTCTTTAAAGTAGAGACACTACATACTGATATACACCTGAACATCAGCACGAGAGGACTCTTTAAAGTAGAGACACTACATACTGATATACACCTGAACATCAGCAGGAGAGGACTCTTTAAAGTAGAGACACTACATACTGATATACACCTGAACATCAGCAGGAGAGGACTCTTTAAAGTAGAGACACTACATACTGATATACACCTGAACATCAGCAGGAGAGGACTCTTTAAAGTAGAGACACTACATACTGATATACACCTGAACATCAGCAGGAGAGGACTCTTTAAAGTAGAGACACTACATACTGATATACACCTGAACATCAGCAGGAGAGGACTCTTTAAAGTAGAGACACTACATACTGATATACACCTGAACATCAGCACGAGAGGACTCTTTAAAGTAGAGACACTACATACTGATATACACCTGAACATCAGCAGGAGAGGACTCTTTAAAGTAGAGACACTACATACTGATATACACCTGAACATCAGCAGGAGAGGACTCTTTAAAGTAGAGACACTACATACTGATATACACCTGAACATCAGCAGGAGAGGACTCTTTAAAGTAGAGACACTACATACTGATATACACCTGAACATCAGCAGGAGAGGACTCTTTAAAGTAGAGACACTACATACTGATATACACCTGAACATCAGCATGAGAGGACTCTTTAAAGTAGAAACACTACATACTGATATACACCTGAACATCAGCAGGAGAGGACTCTTTAAAGTAGAGACAATACATACTGATATACACCTGAACATCAGCAGGAGAGCACTCTTTAAAGTAGAGACACTACATACTGATATACACCTGAACATCAGCAGGAGAGGACTCTTTAAAGTAGAGACACTACATACTGATATACACCTGAACATCAGCAGGAGAGGACTCTTTAAAGTACAGACACTACATACTGATATACACCTGTACATCAGCAGGAGAGGACTCTTTAAAGTAGAGACACTACATACTGATATGAAACCAGAAAAGGAGCATTAATTACACATTTTTGTAGATTATTATAACCATTATGTTATCCCAGTGGTATTTGCCCTTGTATAAATAATCTGATGCAGTGATTTGTGTCATTGTGGCACTTGACGGCCCTGTTGGCTGACCCCTCTACCACCAGCACACCTGTTGCCCACAACAAGTGGCGCGGAGAAGCTATTAAAACCCAAAATATCTCCCATTGAAGTGTGACGCTCAGCTCATCCTGCCATTGATCTGTGGGTATTATGGACCTCGAAAACGCCAAGGTTCAATGAGGAATGATCGGCATCCTCTCTGCTGTTTGACAGAAGGTCACGGCAAGAATCAGGTGCTTTGAAGCCCTTCGAAGGAAATCATTTTCCCATTTTCCAAAGAGAAGGAACAACAAAACAAAAGAGTTTCAGCAGGTTTTCAGCAAAAGGCCAAATCAAAGTTAAGTCAGAAGTCCTTGAAAGTTGGGAGTCTTTCACGTCTAAATGCTGGCCATCACAATTATGTTATTCTTTATTTATGTTGATTTGTTCCAGGATTTTAACCGAAACTTGTCAAGTTTCAAGAAAAGGCAAGAAAATTCTTAAAAAATAAAAACACCAAATATTATGTTTGTCCTCACATTTATATCAAAATATCAACGTTTTTATTGTTCTGATGTCACATTTGGTAGAATATCATCATTAATCTTTGCCCTCTTAACACAAAAAACACAGTTTTATGGCGTGAAACTGCTATGGTTAAGAATTGGGAAGGTTTTAGCGCAGAAAATGACTTGGTCCGGTTAAGGGGAAAGATAAAGTCGCTCTATAATCCTGTTACCTAACTTCCTTCTTTGCTGTTGTCATAATGACTACAACCTGTGAAGGGTTTTGTCAATTGAACATAAATCAAGCTGAAACCCATGAAAACGTAAAGCCACTGTGAAATAGCCTTAAACCTGCAATGTGTCAAATGGCCAGCAGGGGGCGACTCTTCTGGAATAATTCAGATTGTATAGAAGTCTATGAGAAAATCACCCTACTTCTAACTTGATTTAATACCTCTATGAATATCTTCCTGGCTTGTTTATGGTCTTAATCCCTAGTTTCAAGTCTTTTCAATACAGCCTGATGTCCCTTTTATA